GCAAAGTTAAGTGAGGGAGTGAACTTGCAGCACGTCCGCTGTTCTTCAATAAATATCCATCTGCGTATTCTTACCTCCCGTTAACTGCAAGGTAAATTATCCTTCTTTCAGTGAGATTGCCCTGCTGTACACATACCTGAATTACCTCACCTTGAGTGTGTGTAATTCTGCTGTAACGTGGTGAATTGTTACCCTGCAACACATTTGAGCCTCTCTACTTTGAATCACTTCCACACTTTGAAGCTTTAACCGTTGTGTCATGCTGTAAACTAAGCCTTTCCCCAACCCCCGGGATCTTTTGAGCAATGCTGGGTTTTTACCTGTTTGTGCCTGACATCCAGCCCTATGAAAAAGCACCGAACCTGGCCGTCTTTCCGCTGCTTTGTAGCTTGGGTCGTTTCAAACACTTCCCTGGCAGCTTGCAAAGCTGATACGAAGCAGCAAAACTTCCACTGTGGATTATCAGGAACGCTACTGAGGCATTGCTTAATGCATCTGATATCTAAGCCTGGATAACGGAAGCCGTACAGCTGAGCAAAAAAAGATTGGCAGCTATTGCAGGAATTCAGATAGGGGCACCTTGGTAAAGAGTGGGGGGGAATGCGTTTACTTCCATTACAGAGCCCGGGGCTGAGATGGATTCTCTCTCCATCATTGTCCTAAGCACATTATCCCTGAAAGAAAGAAGGTTTCTCTGAATCTGCAATTTTTCTAGGCTTCAGTGTTATTGAAATGAAACCGCTTCAAGGATATCTACATTCTTTACCATCATACGGATTCTCATCTCATGTAAATTATTTGGCCACTTTTCATTTTAATCCTCCACTGTCATTTTCTACAAAAGAGATCATTTGGTTTCTTCATTGAAGGTATTCAGCTGACAGCTGCCCTTTGTCTAGAAAGCAGTGTGCCTTTGCAGGATTTACTTGTGCCTGCTCTTTTTCTTCTTTTCTCCCCTCCCCCCCCCCCCCCCCCCCCTCTAGCTCTTCTCACTTTTTAGTTTTTAGGAACTTTTCAGATTGTGAACAGGCTGTGGTTTGTAGCTGTGAAGAGAAATTCAGACATCCCGTGTTCTTTCCCTGTCCCTTAGCAAGGGTATACCTGGCTGATAAGAAACAAAACTGGAGGCAGATTAATTAGTTTCCTGCTTGCAAGAACTGTAGTCAAAAAATTCACAGTGTTTTCACAACTTCTACATGAGCAAACCAGAACAGTCAGTGATGAAGTCTTGAATTTTTTTCCACGGCTTCTCTATCTTGAAAACTCAGGTATTCTCACCTACTTTCCAGAAATGTTGGGAGGCTTTAAATGTTGTGCTTTGTGTCATGGTGTATCACCCACCAGTCCTGTTAAGACCTTGAAATAAGTGGTGGGAATGAAACGCGAATGTGTTGTAGAGTGCGTATACGGAGAGTTTGGAGGCTGAGGATGAAAATCGGCTCTTACGGTTGAGGTTGTATGGTTTTGGTTACCTGTAGCTATGAGACCTTTTCCTTTAAGACTGAAAACTTCTGAGTATGATCTCTTCTCTGATGAAGCCAGCTTGCACTCTGTCAAAGGTTAAAAGCACAATATGGCGATGGAGAAGAATATAATCAGGAGAAGTGGAGGAGAAGATAGAGTTTTGGGGAGCACGAGTTGAGGGTTGGACAAGTTTATGGGCAGCTTGAATGTGTCGGGGAAGGAGGAGGCACATCGTTAATGTGGATAAGGAATAAGCCAGCAGGTGGAAGGAGAGGCAGCTTCTAAAATTACTGCGTCAACTACAGAAACGGAGTTTACCTACTCCGGTAGTGCCCTTCCAGCTCCCCTCTGGTACCCGCTTAGCTTTGTGATCTCCATGAAAATGTCTTATTTACCAGGAGAGCTGCCTGAAAACTTCTCAGATTTTTGGTGTTTTTTCATAAAACAGGGTTTCAGGGTGAAAAGAATTTCAGATTTTCAAGTGGGAATCACTTTTCTTGTAGAAACTTTTAGATGTTTACATTAAAAGATAAGAAATTTGTGTTAGAATTTAAAGAAAATGTTTCAGAATGATGAAAAATGTTTTGATCCAATCAAATAAAAATGTTTATAGCTTATTCAGTTGTAAAATGTGTTAAGATAAGAATTACTGTTTCAGCAGCGAATTTTTTCTCAATCACAAAAATGATTGGACTACACAAAGACAACTTCCTCGTTTGCCAGAAGAGGTGTCTCATTCATTGTCCAGTTTTGAAAGTTAGCTCCATCACAGGGAGATTTCCTGTTATCCCAGAGAATTGTAAACTTGAGCCTAAGTTTTGTTATTATTAGAAAATGTGAGCTTTTTTCTTGGAGCCAGCAAAAGGATATGGCAGTCAGTGGCTTGCTGATAGGATAGTGTTTAGTTATGTGCCAAGAGAAGGATCACGAGTGGCTCTGGTGTTGTCTTTTCTTCATTAATTGGTGTCTCGGTTTCTTGCATCAACATTAGAATGGGCAGTTCAAGTATACACCATTTCTTAATTTTACATCTTTCGTCATTTCTTCCATAAAGGGAGGCATTGTCTAGCAGTTTTGTGACCACAGATGATCTAGATCCATAATATCGCATGATATCAGGGTTTCACCTTCTGGTTTTAGTACATCACCATGTAGATCCATCAGGTTTTCTAATTTTATGGGGTCTCTTTCATGGTGTTTGTTCTTGACTTTTGGCAAGTATCTATAAACAAAATAATGTTGAGCAAAGGGAGTCCATAAAATAGCTGCTATGGCTACCAAAATTTGCTGAGTTAATTTTTGTACACGTAGTGATGACCTGGATTCCTGATTAGGACTCCAGGTCACACGATACATTCATGTAAATAATAGTACAGCAGTTTTCAGCTGTGATGTCTTGATGTTCCTTTATCTCGTGGCACTTGAAAGAGGAAACAGTTCTTGGCTCTGGGTAGAGTGGAGTGCTCTATTTTGTAGGTGGGAGAGCTGAGACACTGTCGTGCGTCTCATTTTCTATGTTTTCCAAGCTCTCCATTCTCCAAAAAACTCTTTGTACAGAACACAACCCCTTTGAACAGAAATTTGCAAGTTAAGATAGACACACATATCACTTCAAAGGCTATAATAATAGAAAGGATGGTGTATCTGGAAGAGGAAAGAATATCCTTTAAAAAATACCATGCCCAGAGGCTGGGAGTTATTGCTGGGAGGGGGAGGACAAAAAAGAAAATCTCTTGATGATAATTCAGGGAGCGTTCCTGCTGGTGGCAGTGCCAGAGTTGACAGTGCTATGTACTTGAAGCTTCCCAGAAAGTAAGTGTAACTGGGTGTCCTCCTCTTCAGATCTAATGGCAAAATCTCAGCTGTTTTTTCAGGGTAGGATCAAGCATAGTGGGAATTGCAGTTACAGTCAGTCTCTCCGGATTTACTTCATAAGAGCAACTCAGAGGTTCAGGGAAGAAGTAGTGGATGTTTACATGTGAATGTGATTGCCTCCAAAGCACAAATCGGTAGTATAGACGTGGTCTGCCCTTCATTTAGTGAAGATGGAGCTATTTCTGTGGTTTCGTTTGCTCTCTAAGCCAGCAAATCAAGTGGAAGTACATTAATAGTGCAACTAGCCGTGCTAATGCGTGATTTCTCTTCATCAACGTGTAGCAACTTTGGAATAGGACTCCGTTTGTGGGCATGGCTGCAACTGTAAATAACACTGGGAACAATGGGATGAAGAAGTAGTAGCTAAAAATTCAAACTGAATGTTCAAAATTTGTATTTACAGTGAATTGATCTAAACTGGAAGTGAAATAGTGAGATCTGCATTAGTACCACTTACTTAAAAGAAGGTTGGACAGAAGCAATTGCTGTATGGAGCAGAATCCAGGTTTCCATAGAAAGTAACTGTGCTGGGGCCGATCCACCAGAGGAGAAATACGACCATGGAAAATAATAATTGCCTAAATATGCCTAACTCTCCTGCTACCAAATGATCTACAATTAAAGGAAATATCTTATTTTCAAATACAGAGCAGCTGTCCAACAGCTGAACCTGCTGCTGATCAAAGTTGATCAAAGAATTCTTAGGATTATATATTACGGACAATCTACAGAAAAAATGTAGTAGTCCCTGTTTATGGCATGCTTATCAGAGTCCATTGAAGTAAACAGGACTTTTTGTTGTTTTTAATGCAAATCTGATAAGCTCTGTAGGATGTAAATCAGTTCATTAAAATTTGTAAAGCACTTAAATGAAGTAAAAGAGAAAACAGTTTAACTTTTAAAGGATGTTTACTGCATAAAAAGGACAATAAAATCACAATTATTCAGAAAAAAATACTGTTAAAGTGTGCTATACTCAATAAGTTGTTCTGGGGAAGATTTTAAAATTTTTAAATTGTGGTTTTAAAAAAAAACCCCTAGCCTGTTTCTAGAAATCTTACTGTGTTACTGTGTAATTTTGTCTGTACGATCTTCATACCGTATCTGTCTAACATACGCAATATCTGTGTGTGTTTGTGCGTAATGTATATACAAGTAGGTATGTATGTGTGTATATATTAACCCAGGGATCAAAATAAACATTGAACAGCTCCTTCGTTTGTAGGACGCTGCCTAAGCTGGGGGTATGTCAGGAGAGAAAAAATAAGTAAATGATAATAAAAAAAAGACAGAGGCATGGCCTATGACGTCTTCTGACATGATGCTTCGCTTGACAGTCTTAACTCTGATATTCGTGGCATTGCCTACTCTGTTGTATCTCCTAGTACAATATTCCGAATGCCGAGGTGTGACACCAAATGCTGAGATAATATTCATTTATCTGGGGCATTTGGGAAGTTTTATCCACTCTACGTGGATATGAGTGCATGCCGGTATTACCTTAGGCATATACAGGTTTACATAAAACTTACTGCCTCTGCGTTATCTCTGTAAAAGCGATGCGTAAACTTAGCAGTTGACACCTTTCAGTGAAGCTGCTTTGGAGCATTCATGCTCTGATTTCTGAAAAAAACTTTTCTTTTTTCTTCCCCCCCTTGCAGTTACTTCAATGAGAATCAATATCCAGACGAGGCAAAGAGAGAAGAAATTGCAAACGCCTGTAATGCAGTTATACAAAAGCCAGGTGAGGAGCTGATCGTGGTGTCCTTTCCAAAGGCAATTGCAATTAGATTGCAACATCTCCTGCTAAATTCAGCAAATCTCATTTTATGGCTATTACTAACAAATGTGCTCTCAACTAGTAGTAGGTTTCTTCTTGAGCATTCTAGAACTCGTGTTGTTCAGAGCTGCCATACTTGGATGAACATGACAGTCAATGCCATTTTCAAACCTAAATGCCATGTCTGAAACTTAAATTCCCACCGGTTGAGATATGAAGTACAAATTGTGCATCCGAACATTTCACTTATACAGCTTTATAAATGGCATTGCTAAGAAAATAAACGTGTCTGAAAGGTTTTCATTCTTTACATTCAGTTATTTCAAAGGACGTCTATAAGCACTCAGTAGTGATCTGAGAATTTTATTGCACTCCACGAAACTGGGTTTTACTAGTTCTGTTTTACGGATGGGAAGTCTTAGGTTCACAGACTGAGGCTTGCTGGAGATCATACAGCAGGTCCTCGGAGGATTAAGGAGCACAGCTTTCCTGTCTTTCAGTTTTCTTTGCAGCTTCTAGACAGGCGTCTCTTATTAGAATCTGTGCATTAATGGAGGACCTTGTATTTGGGTCAACAAGTTGCGTTTTCCCTGTTCCTGGAGAAGTCATACTTGGGAGAGGAGCATGAATATTCAGTGTAGTATTAGTGGACGCACCTGCCTTTGCTTAGTTTTGCTAACCAAACATTTACATAGTTTTCAGAACTTGTATTTTGGATATATTTAGATTTTATATAACCAGAACAAAAATTAATGCAAAAGAAAGCTAAGGCATGACTCCTGAACATTGGGACAGTCACCGGATAGCACAGAATCATAGAGCGATTTAGGCTGGAAGTAACCTCTGGAGATCATCTGGTCAGACGGGACCAGCTTAGATTAGGCTGCTCAGGGCTTTACCTCGTTCAGTTTTGAGTATCTCCAAAACCGGAGGTTTTCCCACCTCTGGGCCCCTGTTCCGCAGTGTTGAGCACTCTCATGGCAAAATACTTTTTCCTAATACCTAGTCAAAATTTCCCTTGTTGCAACTTTTATGTGTTGCCCCTTTGTCTTTTTGTTGTGGAAGCAGAATGATCTAGCGGGTAGAGCACCGAGGAGGTTAGGATTTTATTCCTGGCTGTGCTGCTGGTCGGTTTAGCAACTTCGAACAAATTTGTTAAACGCTGTGTCTCAGGATCGGTAAAATATTGAGTGATACTGATGCAAAGCATTAGGAAACAGCGTAGCTATCTATTTCCAGATTTTTCTTGTCTCATCTCTCCTTACTTACTTAAGTTTGCAGATTGCTGCAATTACATGAATGTTTTGTATGCTGAATAAATAAACTTAGAGAAACAGTCTGAAGCAGGGGAGTCTCATCCCCATGTAGCCTGCAGAGGACTGGGGATGCAGCTACATTGAATAGGGTCAAGGCCAGCTGAAGAGGTTTCCGTGCTGTCCCTGCAATGCCGAATCCCTCCAGTCTTCCCTCTTTCACGCTGGTGATCAGGAGAAGGGATTGCCTCCTGTAGCTGGCTGGTGGTTGTTGGGATTTTATTTGCTGGTTTAAGTGTAAAACTCCAGTGATCTGGTTTCCAGCATCGCCCCCCTTTTCCCAAAAGATCGCAAGCGTCCTGGCACGATTGAGAGGGTGTGATTAGTGCTGAGGGAGCATGATAGCAGCTGGTGGAGGAGAGGAAGGAAAGCAGGTTGGAGGGGGCGACACAAAATCTCTTCATTCATTTTGCTGCTGAAGAAAACATGTCATTGAACTATATCCTCACGGCACATAGTAAGAGAACTAGCCCAAGGGTATGCGATTTGTGGCAGGGCTGTGAATTGAATTTGAGGTTTTTTGAATCTCAGTTTTGTGCTTGAACTAGAAAAGCAGCCCTCTATTCTCCCATGGCTCTGGATTTAGTTGACTGAAGCTGTAAATAAATTCCTGTATTTCGGATTTTAAAAACAAGAAGAAAGGCTACTTTGTTTTTAGAGAGAGAGTTGGCATTTATTACCATAGCATCTGGGCACAGTACTTTGATTCATATAAAATTCACTTCGTTCTCAGTTACAAAAACTTTTCAGTGCCGTCTGTATTTCACAGGGGCTTATCACATGTGTAAGGGTCTTCTGCCTACCTCTGGAACCCAGCAAGTAACAACGCTGTATTTTTTTCTCCCTGTTACTTTCATAGGAAAAAAGTTATCGGATTTGGAGCGAGTTACCTCCCTTAAAGTGTACAATTGGTTTGCCAACAGAAGAAAGGAAATCAAGAGAAGAGCCAATATCGGTAATGTATCAGAGCGCCTGCTTTCAAGGTTTAGTACGTACACTTGCTCAGGAGAGGTGGAAAATAATACATAAGATTGTATTAATGAAAATACTAGAGGTTCTGACATTCTTAATAAAAATGTGGAGCAATTTTTAAAATTAGTCTCTTGCTGTTCCAGATTTTTTCTAAAATATGGGTAGGAATTTAATTTATGGCATTCCATCATCACTGCAGGAAAAATGATGCAGTTATGAAGTTTTACTGGAAGATCAGTTTTAAAAACCAAAGTGCGAATTCTGTTGGCGGAAGGAGGCTCGTATTTCCCTATGTTCAGGCTCCTTTGGGTATCCAAAATAAAATCTGAAATAAAACCTCAAAATATCTGCATTGGAAATAAGGGAAATTGAGATGATTGCAAGTTCACAACCTTAGCATGCTGTTTAAATGAAAAGTGGCTGTTGTGAAGAGCTTTTATCTGGTTGTAAGTTTCCTTGTGTCTATGTTCCACTGAAATGTGCTTGTTTTTTCAGCCAAAACCTGGGGCTGTCTTTCTTTCTGCCATCCCTGAGACCCCACAGGGATCTAAGAGTTCAGATGAGTTGTTTTACGTCTCAGATACAGCCACTAGGACCAAAGGCTCCGCAAGCCAGCTTCTCATTCCGGTTACACCTGTGCTCCTTATTGCTTTCCAAGGGGTTGCACAATGACAAGTGGCTGGAACAAAGTAATAATTTTTCTTGATCATAGAATCATAGAATCATTAAGGTTGGAAAAGACCGCTAAGATCATCGAGTCCAACCGTCAACCCAACACCCCCATGCCCACTAAACCATGTCCCTAAGCACCTCATCTACATGTCTTTTAAATACCTCCAGGGATGGGGACTCAACCACTTCCCTGGGCAGCCTGGTCCAATGTTTAACCACTCTTTCAGTAAAGACATTTTTCCTCATGTCCAACCTAAACCTCCCCTGGCACAACTTGAGGCCGTTTCCTCTCGTCCTATCGCTGGTTACTTGGGAGAAGAGACCGACCCCCACCTCGCTACAACCTCCTTTCAGGTGGTTGTAGAGAGCGATGAGGTCTCCCCTCAGCCTCCTCTTCTCCAGACTAAACAACCCCAGTTCCCTCAGCCGCTCCTCATCAGACTTGTTCTCCAGACCCCTCACCAGCCTCGTTGCCCTTCTCTGGACACGCTCCAGCACCTCGACGTCCTTCTTGTAGTGAGGGGCCCAAAACTGAACACAGTATTCGAGGTGCGGCCTCACCAGGGCCGAGTACAGGGGCACGATCACTTCCCTACTCCTGCTGGCCACACTATTTCTGATACAGAATGAGATCTGATGATCAGGATTAAACAAAAGTCACTTCAGAGTTAGCCCTGCAGGTTCTCCGAGTGAGGAGTAGCTGATCGTAAGGCAATGAGAAGTGACTCTGAACTTGTAAGAAGCAGACCTTCTAATGAGAATAAACTCACATTAGTGGCCAGGATTCGACAAACTTCTGCAATGCATGCAAAATTTTATGCACTTCCTTAGATACTACGCAGAATTGTGTTTGCAATACATGGACGAACATACCCGCCTATTACCAGTATTTTTGCAGATGTCAAATGTTATGCCCTTCTGCTCTCTGCTTCTTTTTGCCATATTTGTGAATAAGAAAAATTTATTTTTACAGCATTTGGTGTTACTGAAATTTAACCTAATTTTTTTTTTTTTTAAATTAAACCTGTTGAAGGGCAGGGGGTGGGGAGGAGAACAAAGCAAAGTTAGTCCAAGATGGGTGGAATTATAGCTGTATCTGACCTGCATGGGGAAGAGGGTTGGAAGGAGATGAAAAAGAACCAAAGGGAGCTTTAGATGCATGGATCCTACAGGAGGATGAAGATATGTGCGTTTTCAAATCCCTTAAGTGCTTTAAAAAATTGCTCCATCCATTTTCAGATACTCCCCACCCCCCTCAAGTCCTGCCAGTCCAAACTATGAGGGAAGATCTACAGGGAATGCCTTTGCCACTCCAGTGCATTAGAAACTAAGCTAATTTCTAATAGGACTGGCTAGAAAACAAGGATTCTTACTCACAAATAAGTCTGTTAGTTGGCAGGGAAGGATTTCAGGCAAACCAGTATCTGCACATGTCCTACCTTCCCAAATACTGGAGAGTGAAGAGGAAGAGGCTAAGAACTAACTCTGTTCTTCCAGTTATTCTAACTTCTTGAAAAAAAAGTAGTTCCTTTTAATTACTCTAATGCATCAGATAAATTAGGGATCCATTTGCTTTTTTCGAAGAAGCAGCAATCCTGGAGAGCCATGGAATAGATGTACAGAGTCCGGGAGGTCATTCCAACAGTGACGACGTTGATGGCAATGACTACTCAGAGCAGGTAAGCAGCATGGCTGAACCTCGTGGCCCAAAAAGGGAGAGTTCACGCGACACATAAAGAGACCCTCTGCCTCTCGCAAATCAGATGTCTCTTGTTTTTGTTTTGCTTTTATGTAATTGTAATGGGGAAAGTGGAAGAGCACAGCTCCCCTATTTGAATGTGTTGAGCAACCAGTATTCACCCACATGGATTTATTGTCATACAACAGGACACTTGGCAAGTACGCAATGGGGAGGAGGAGGGAAGATGTTCAGAGGGAGGCAGAGAAGCAGAGAAGGTAGAAGAAGACAGGAGGATCTGCTCCAAACAAGCAAGTTACACCATTCACGCCACACGCAATGTATGAAAAATGTTAGGAGAGTGTTAACTCGCCCAGTGCGTCATGCATAACTTGCACTCTCCTTGCCCATGGCACCGTTCTAGTTATCCACCCTCAAGAGAGGATGTACAGGTCTTTAACGGTTGCTCCTATATATCAGGCACCAACAAGCTTCCCTGCAAAATTAGGCATGACATACGTGTTCCTCTTACACCTATTATTTCTTTCTCAAGAAATATCTCCATTATAGCCTGTGCTACAGCTACTGTGAGTTGCTTATCTGGCACCCAGACAAGTACAGCAGTAAGCCCCTGCCCGCTACACTTTATAATCCCTTTTGTCAACCTTGCCCAGCAAGACACTGAGCACCCTCCTATAAGGTGCTGAGCTCCCTCTGTTCGTCTGTGGGAGTACCTTTCAGGAGCGTCTCAGGATCAGTCCCTAAGACACTGACAGACAAAGGGTGAAGGGTGGGGGGAAAGGATTTGATTAAATAAAGTTTTACATTTATTTGGCCCCGTACCTGTTTCGTATTGTTCTGCAACAATGTGCCACTATTTGGATTGTTTACATATTATCTGTCTTTTTTTTTTTCTTTTCTTTTTGCATTTTAACCTCCTATAAGGTGCTGAGCTCCCTCTGTTCGTCTGTGGGAGTACCTTTCAGGAGCGTCTCAGGATCAGTCCCTAAGACACTGACAGACAAAGGGTGAAGGGTGGGGGGAAAGGATTTGATTAAATAAAGTTTTACATTTATTTGGCCCCGTACCTGTTTCGTATTGTTCTGCAACAATGTGCCACTATTTGGATTGTTTACATATTTTATCTGTCTTTTTTTTTCTTTTCTTTTTGCATTTTAACTCTTGCCTATTCTCTATTTTTCTTGGTTATTTTTAACCCTTGACAGCAACTTCTTTTTTAAATTCTCTAGCAAAAGAATACCCCTTCCCGCACTCTGAGCCCTCACCTACCCTAAAGTTGGTGACCCTTCCTTCACACACCTTCCTGACAGGTATTGCATCCCCTTCCCAATTTTCCTTCAGGTGTCAGTGTTGGCCAAAACCCTCAGGGCTGTGTGTGCTTGGCACCAGTGGACTTGAACAGTTCACTTACTTGGTTCTGGTTTCGGTATGAGCTGCGTTCTGTGCTACACCCAGCATCTGGGGTGGGCAGATCGCTTTTAATTGACTCGTTTGGGAGAAGTAGGTAGGTCTCCCTCTATAAAAGCTGCTGATGGAGTGTAATAGCAACTGAGTGTTCTGGAATGAGTCCCTAGCACACTTGGCTGTGGCCCAGTACGACAGATATCTGGCAGAGGCATTCCCAGCCGCTCTGCTTCTGACGGGTATTAAGGCCCTTTTTATAGGTCATCACCAGCAGATTTGGTGGAACCAACTTTGCTAGCTCTAGATGATGAGAGGCTGCTCTGTGACTGTTATAAAATATTTTGAAACTGCTGCCGAGCACAGATAATTCCTTGTCAGTCAGATACAGGACCTGAATACTGAGATGAAGTGTTATGTAGACTCCCCAACTATGTTTTTCTTCTGTGTGTTATCCAAAATACTTTGAAAAGAGAAATAAATTGGTTATTAAAATTTAAAGATCTTTGTTTAGAGTCCTTAAAAATTACATTTCTCAGTAATCTAACTGGGCTCCTCTGTGAAGTGTAATTAGGCATTAGCAGTGAAGCGGATTAAATGGCAAGCTCTCCTGATGACCATTTAACATCCCTTAGCTGTTAAAACCATAAATTCTGTTTTTCACAGCAACACTTAAACTCTAGTAAACTTTAAAACACAAAGTTCATCCAAATACTAATGAAGTGCCTCAAACTCCAGAAGTCAGGACTTTGTATTTCTTACCATGGTAAAGGTTGCTGAGAGGCCCTTAGAGTGTGTGCACATCACAATATTTGCCTGACGTTTGTTGTAAATGAATGCATTCCTTTAAATAACCTTAGGATTTTACCAAATCCTGGCTTTTCTGTGCCCCTCGGCGTTTGCCACCTGTCATCTTAATTTAAAAATGCTTAATAACACATTTTAAACTTCACAAGTTCATCGCTTAAAGGCTGTTGGCAGCCTGATAAATGTGTATAATTTCCTTTCTGTAAATAATAATAATTTTTAAAAAATCACGAGATCATGGTGTGGTAACTATTAATACTCCATTTTGAAGAGGAGGAAACACCACGATTTTGCCCAAAGTTCCGGAACAATTTATTTGACAGCTGGGATTACAGTTTGGATATTGCTGGTTCTCATTCCTATTGTTGAAAACCAGGCCCTGTTTCTGATCTAGACTGAGAAACATGCACAACTCACTATAAAATTTAGTCAGACTTTTAGGTCTGATGTTGTATGGCCATTACGCACCTGTAGAAGGCAGCCCTTCTTGCTCATTGATTTTAAAATTTCCACTGCAGTCCTGTAGCAGCGAAGTTTCTCTGTATTAGTTTTGCCTGCCAACCATCACAGCCGTCGGCACGGTGGTCCTCTTGCAGCTGAGAGACTTTGCTCTTTAGAAAATAGATGAAGAAATAACGGCGCATAGCTCAGTGGACGGGAGAACCTGGCAGCATCTTCACCTGCGTATTTGAATTATGGTGGTTCCAGTCCCCTGAAATCATTGCACTGTTTTTCTTAGCAGTCTAGGAGATTTTCAGCATCTTTTTCCCTATACCTGTGTGAATTCAGTGTCTTCACAGGACACTGGCTCAGACCAAGGGTTAGTCTAGGTTTGTGTCCTGCTTGTGAGTGTGGTCAATAGTAGTATTTAAGGAAAAAGCATTTTTAAAGAACAGGACAATTACAGAATGATTTTATTATAGTAGCTTCCAGCTTCTGGAAGTCAGTAGTTTTGAGAGGCTTCCTGAGCCAGGCTCTGTATCCACTTTGTTCTTAATTTACCAATTATTTGTAATAAACATTTACCACATCAGCCATCAGCCATTTCTTTTCCAAGCTGAAGAACCTGAGTCTATTTAGCCTCTCCTCGTAAGGAAGCCACCCCATGCCTCTCTTCCCCTGGGTTGCCGTTCTCTCTACTTTTTCTAGTTCTATTGTGTCCTCTTTAAATGGGATGGCCAGAACTGTATATTCAAAATGTAAGCGTAGCGTGAATTTGTGCAGTGCATAATGATTCCTATCTTAGTTTGGTTTCCTGACATACCACTTTTATCTTTATAATTTAATATTTTCCTCAGAATATCCCCCCCTCAAATTTCTCTCTCGAAAATTGGGTACGCCACTCCTTGCCCCGCTTACCTTTGTCTGCACAGTGAGGGAAATCAGTCCTAAATCAATTTTATAAATTCCTTTCACTTCCTACCCCCTGTAACGAATGTGCAATTTGCTGCCCCTGGTCCATTACTTTACACACTAGTTTTATCTGCTGGTTTTCTACTTATGGAGTAACAATGCTTCTCTCTTCTCCTTTCCGCATGCACAGGATGACAGCACTAGCCATAGTGACCATCAAGACCCCATTTCATTAGCCGTGGAAATGGCAGCAGTAAACCACACCATCTTGGCATTGGCCCGGCAAGGAGCCAACGAGATCAAGACAGAGGCTCTAGACGACGACTGATACAAAGAAAGGGGAGGGTCAAAGCAAGAAGTAACTTAGTTTTAGACGTAGCACCTTAGCAGACTTTCCTCGGTCCTTAATATGTGTTCTTACAGTATAACTTTGCAGTTTCTTGTACGTCAGTTAGCTGTTAGGGTCTTGTTCTGTGAAGATGGCATGGTGCCCTCAGCCTTTGCATATACTCTCTCAGTATTAATTCCCAATAAATAATCAATCAACCAACCAACCTCCCTCTCCCAGCCCCAGTGGCTAGAAAAATCTTGCTGCTCTGTCTTAGCATTCAAAGTGCTTCCAGGTATTTTAGACAGCCCTCAATTACAAGTCTTAGGCTACACTTAAAATCTTGGATACCCTTAGAGATCGTGTTAAAAAAATAGTCTGTACGCTTTTCCTTCTCTGAGACTGAAAGGATGCAAGCTGAGGTAGTGGCACAGGGTCGATGGACACCAGATCGGGAGTATCAACAGAGAGTAAAAAGAACACTAGAAACCCCACTTCAGCATGGGAATAAATGATTTCCAGCTGCAATAAGCCGTGCCTCACTGGTCATACAGTGACTTGACATACTTTTGGGTGCTGAGCTGAGAATGTCCATTGGAAACACATTCACATATTTCGGTTGATGTTCACACATTCAACACAGACATCTTCTACTCTCACAAGCTGCGTGGCTTAGTGGATAAGTACTGCCTTCTGCCTCTGGGACCATGATTGAAGCCCAGCCTGGGATCATATGAAAAATGAGCTGAATGTCTAATGGACAAGAGTCCACTTCTCAAAACCACTATTCATTATTTGGCATGGCTAGCAGTGCCTGCTCAGAAGAGGTCTAGACTCTATTGATCTGTCATTAACAATTTCACCTTTTATTCTTCCTCTCGCCTTCTCTGTCCCCACCCTACTCCTCTCTCCACTTTGCCACTTTCAAAAGCAATGTTTTCCAGGAAGGTTATTAAGGTCATAAAATGGGTGAGTGGATTTTTACACATCTGTGTAACTAATGCCTACGTCCTGACTAGCCTGAAAGGTTATTGGAGAACTTTTGCATCTGACCTTTACTAGATAACCATCGTAGCATAAATATTCCCCTAAATATAAACTTTTTTTGTTTGTTTAAAGGCAGGAGGATCTCTTACCTGAGAAATGGGGTGTGAATGTTTTGTGTTCTCTTTACTCTGTCCTTGTTAAGATGTGAGAAAGCTATACTGCTACGAGCAATTTAATTAATAATTGGAAGCCATACTGATAATGGATGTGGTAATATTTGTAAAGCAAACCTACTTTAAGTAGCAGAAACTAATGGAATTGTTTTCCTTGATCATATGTAGCACTTTTGTTACTTTTTTCTTAAAGATATTTATATTTGATAAGTCTTTTTTTTATCATTTGAGAATTCAAAATACCAAACAGCAAACTTGCATTACAGAGTCACCCTGCGATCACCTTGTCATCTAGTATCTAAGTGATGAACTGTGTGTGCATCTAAGAAAATTACATCTGCTGGCATTGTGTGGAAATGATCTCCTGGCATCCTGATAAAATGATATGTTGCTGCCGGTAAGAGGAAACATTTCAATGGAAACAGCACGGGAAGTGTTAGAGACGGGCAGGACTGTGTTACATTAAAAATAAAAATGTAAAACCTATGTAAATTTTTGTATCTAGATATATAAAAATTTGCATAGCGTTTCCACAACATTCCATTTTTATCTTCCCAGTTTACGTGGGAATAGCTTAAAAAGGGGAAGACGGCTTAGTCTGAAGGATGGGTTTCCCTTTTCTCCCCTCCACTTCTAAAGGTGGAGGGAATGAAGAGAAGTTGCTATTACTTGGCTTGTTCTCATCCGTTCCTCATGCTTAACTATCAGATAGCATTGTGAACTCCTAAAATTTGGCTCCTCAGCAGGTTTTTAGCCAGCCTAAACCCCTTCAAGGCGTAGGCTAACTAGATCATCTTTACATCTGTTAATCTTGTGAAAATTGCTTAGGTAAGTGTGGAGGAGATTTTGTGCTTTCAGAGGGCACAGAGTTGGCACCTCTTTGTCTCTGTAACTTTGAAGATATATAGGTAGGGCTTGGCCTCGTCTTTCGTTTATGGATTTCATTGGAAAATTTATGTGCTTTCCTTAGATATACATCACTGAAGCAGAATGAAGCTGTCTCTTTTCTGGTTTATTGCATTTCTCGAGTAGGCAAATTCATAAGTAGCATCAGGGCAGACTCAGGAAAGAAAGGAATTGGATCAGCGACCATTGCAGTTTTTTTTCTTAATGTGTGTATGAATGTTTTGGTACTAAGGAGTGAAAGGACAGGGAGAGCTTTTATTTCTATTTTTGCACAGCAGAATGATCGAGCAAACTATAGCCTTAGTGGAATTTTACCTAGTTATTCGTACTACAGTCACACACCAAGCTGTCAAGCAACATCCACGATTTATAGTAAGGAGATTTTAATAATCGATGGCCTCTTTATGTTGGGATTGCCACCACCATTTGTTCTGGCTGTTTCATTTTAAAAAGAACAGACTCAAACTGTTGGACAGCTGCAATTTTAAAAGAAGTATTGCTTACTATACCATCTTAAAAAAAAATAAAGTCATTGTTTTAAGCATCGCCTTTTTAAAGCAATAGGGAAGAATAAAAATAGTACTAGAACTTCTATATCCTGATTTTAGGTTCATGTAATGCAGGATCAAAGTAACACCGCTAAAATTGTATGTCCATACCATCTAATGTAGAATAATCTGATCTTAATTCTGTTTGTCGCTGTCAGGTAGCTGCTGGTCTCATCATGCATCATTATCCTATCTGAAGGTTAAACAGTTAAACCCCTTGTGAACAACTGGAGATTGGCAGATCCTCCTTGTCTGTAGCTTCCTGGTAAATACCATCTTCTCACCAGAGAAAATAACAAATGACACAACTGGGGAATCGGACACTTAGTTCTATGGTGTCAGTTTTTGGTTTGCCCCTGTCTATTTTGGCTTTTCTTTGACCATCGAGAGGTACGAGGAAACAGTTAAGCCTTCAGCTGTTAGCAGGGTGCTCCCAGCAGTCTGTTTCCTTTATTCTGAAAGTTCATAATGAACAATTTGCAGTTGGCTAATAACTCTTTGGTTTGACATGAATTAGCTAAAATGGAACAGACGCTGGTGTGATGATATCAGGAGAAGCGTATGTGGTTTGGAGTAGGTGAAAGAATCTGTGGAGAGTGTGTCCTGGAATTTAGCCTTTGTTCTAGGGTTTTTCCCGCACTATGGGAGTCGTCTTTGTCTTTCTGTCTCTGGATTTTCTTGAAAATTAAGCCTCATTTTTGTAGTATTTCAATTCAGTTGCAACTTGTTGTAGCCAATCTGGAATTACTGCAATTTGTTCTCGTGTGAGTTCCCTTGAAGTGGATCTGGTGGCAGACTAGATCTACCTTTTTGTTCTGTGAATAGAGAAGAAATTATTTAAGATGCTCCTCTTCTATGATGGGCACAGATTGCTTTTAACTTTGTAGAGTAAGTTCTGGCTGTTATTTTGTCGATCACAAAGGCCTTATACTTGAGTTACCGTCTTCTTAAAACAACAATTTCTACCTCCACTTCTTTTTTGGGATTTGTTTTTTGGTTTTTTTTTAATTCCCACGCCTTTTTCCTGAAGTATGAAATCCCAGATGTTTGCAAAAGCATTTTGAGATTATAAAAATAAGTTGACATAGCAATGAGCAGACATGTTACCCGTTGATGCCCTAGCATTATAGACATCTTCTAAATACTCTATAAATGTATGTATTATTACAGTGTAATCCCATTACTCATATGTTGGATGTGAACAAGTTGGTCGTGAGTCAGCAGTGCACCCTTGCAGCAATTAAGGAATCTCATTAGGAAGAGCCTTCGGCAGGTCAAGGAAAGCGATTAGTCCCCTCTGTTCATCACTTGTGGGACCACCTCTGGAGTACCGTGTGCAGTGTTGGGCAGGAGTGAGTCCATCGTAGGGCTGCTGAGATGAGGGGGTTGGAGCACATGTCGTGGTGGGAGATTGCGAGAGCTGGGTTTGTTCAGGCTGGCCCTGGGGGCATCCTGTATTTCGTTGTTCAGCTATCTTAATGGGTAGGTTTAGAGAAGACGGAGCCAGGCTCTTCTTAGTGGTGCATAGCGAAAAGGTGAGGGGCAGTGGGCTCAAATTGCATTAAAGAAAATCCCAGATGAATATAAAGAGAAATATGTTCATACTCGGAGTGGTAGAACAGTGGCCCAGAAAGGCAGTGGAAACCCCATCCTTGGGGATATTCAAAACTCAACTGCACAATGTTGGATTAGAGACCTTCAGAGGTCTCTTCTGACCTAAATTAATCTATGATTCTGTACAAACCTGCTCAGATTGAGGTGTTTCCTAGTTCTGATCTATACATGTTGACTTGCTTAAAGAAATGCTCTTAATTTGTTGTTGGGATTTCTTTCTGTTTTGCTATTCATAAAAAGTTTCTTTCCTATTCTACTAATAGAGGGGAGCTTTATTTGCAGGGTCTGGCTCCAGGGTCCAATCAAGCCATAAGTAATAAATTTCATTAATTATTTGCTCTGTTTACACAGTTCTTCAGGGATGTTTGAATTATTCTGTTTGTTTCATTGCCTAACATCAGACTGGTAAGTTTTCCACGTTTTCATAACATTTGTGCTATAGATCAGTTTTTGCCTTCATTTGTGAGGATTTATTGTTGTCTCGCTGCTGTGAGTGCAGATGAAAAATTTCACGTAGCTGAACGTATTAGAGGAAAAATTGTAGTTAACTTAAGCCCACTGGTGACTATTACGATAAGCTAGAATTTTTTGGTTCAGTAAATCATTAATTGGTGATTATCAGAAGCTGAAAGGGTATGACCGGGAAAGAGTCACGTTATACTCACTTGGATCCTCCTTTTCTTTCCTTAAGCGTTTGCTGTTGGCCACTGCTAGGGAAAAAAACCCATACCTCACTAGGTGGACTTTAGGTCTGATTTGGATGTTATTTGGAAGAAAAATCGCAATGGTGTTTGCCAGTATGGACTGGCATGGGGTCAGTTAGACTCCCAAGTGTTAATTTCTGCCTTTAAGGTGCATAAGAACATGGAGATGAGTTCACCAAGATTTTGAGTTCCCCTATGCGGTATAAAAGTTTTCCTTCACGATGAGATGCTGCTTGCAGAGAAGTGGAATGAAAGCATTGTGCTGGCCTTCCCCCAGAGCAGTTGAGTCACCGCGACACGTGGTAGTTGTAACAGGGTTTCATAAGGAAACAGGTTTTATTTTTCGTGTAGATAAAACCAGCAAAATTGGTATAAGAGTTTTCAAAACTCAAAATCACTGCCCCTGAAGCACTTAATGCAGGATGTTGTTTCCCAGTGTGTAATCTTAACTCGAATGCAAAGCTGGATTCACACCTTTCTCTGCAAATTATGAAGATTCAGTGTGAGATTTTGCCCAGAATACTGAGAGCTGTGGATGTAGGAGAAGATTTGTTTCCCCCTTTATCCCTGGAATTCTGCTCATTTCAGATAATAATTTTCTTACCAGAAGGTTTATGTTTCTCCTCCCACCCCAACTACATCATTGTGCAGCCCTCATTCCCCAGCGTTCATCAGCTTCGTTCAAGTTCATTGGATAATTACCAGCAAATTGTAGGGTTTTTCTGTCAGAATAAACTTTGCTCTTATTTTAGACAAGGCTTCCCACCCAAGTAGCTCTTCCACTCTTTGAAGTTATTTAACTTGATAATATTATTTTGATCAAAGTCTTAAGCTTGTTGGCAATAATCTTGAATTTGGTGTAGCTTTTATCATTTGGCAGGAATCTTTGTTGGCAGGATGGGTCTTGAAAACTGTGTTATGTGTCAGTGACCTAACACGTGTTCATTAGACAACTGAAGATTTTGTGTGTGTGACAGTAGCAGTAGTCAGGGTTGCCCGGCTGACTTAATGGAGTTTTGTGGAGTCAGGCGTTCTCACTGTGATTTCTTGGAAGGGAAGGTTGATGGCCTGACCAAAAAGTACCTTGCAGTTCCCAGGAAAAGTTGCAGAGACATTTCAAAATAAAACATTCCCCCTTGGGCTTTTTTGTAGCTGGGATTTTTACTCAGGATATTGAATCAGTTATTGGCCCACAGGCATTTGGCAAGCTGAAGAGCATAGCCCTAAAACCTTCATTTTACTGTCTATTACTGTTGTCTAATTTATGGGGTTTAAACTGTCCGACTAAAGATGTTGCACATTAATGAAAAAAGAGGCATTCTAGAGGTGGCAGCTATAAATCTGAATTTAAAATACACAAAAATTATCTTTCTCCTTTGTGAGAAATGTGTTATAACTAGAGAAGTGGACTTGGTCGTTTCGAGGACTGTCAATAAGATGACAGCATTTTGATGTTGGTTTTTGTCCAACAAATACAAATAAAATCAAATAAATGAAAGTAATCTCAGTGGCACCAGGGAAACAGAGATGTGGGGAGAAAAACTCAAACATCTAAAGAGTTGCTCATCGCTAACCTTGGCCTTTGGTTTTATCACTTAAAAATAGCTTAGCATTGTTTGCTCGCGCCTGTTTTCACATAGGCATCCGTTGAACATAGGTGATGCTGTAGCTAAGATGGTATCGGCACAATTACAATAATCAGTACAAACTACTCTCTGTTTTTGTTAAGGTTCTTCTGTCACGCTCTCTTTATGAAAATCCGTATCATAGTTTAGCTTGAGCTTGCTGGGAGAAGTAAACAAATGCATTTTGCTCTTTCAAGATACCGAGATATACTCTGTGATGCCTGCAACGTGCTTATCAGTGTGGTATCCGGGCGATAATATTGACAGCTTATGTCGTGGAGATAGAAAAGGATTTGTCATTTTGAGTGCGGGGCAAAAATTCACAAAACTTATTTTAAATGCCCCTTTTAATCAGGTTGATCAAGAAAACTAATTGGTTTGATTGCTGCAATGTTGTGCTTTTCCCCGTTCTTTCCAGTAAGCTTTGGAGTGCTCTGGCCAACAGCTTAAGCGCGAGTGAACTAAAACCATTGAACTGGAGTGAACTGCGTAATGGGCCTTTGATGTTTCTGTATGTACAGTGCATCTCTCACTCAGATGGCTTGGCAGAAGGCGCTCTCTGCCATTTATTCCCTCTCTTCCCTCTGCTGTTAAATGGAAGCGGGTGTATTCTGCTGATCAAAACATCCAGCACACTTCTGCTAAATCCTTTCAAACTGCAGCCAGGGTAATTGGGACGAGTAGGATAAATGCATAAGAGTATGGCAGTAAAAGTGATGGCAGTTCTTTTGAATGACTGGGTGTCCTCCTGACATGTAATTAGCTGCTTTAGAAAGATGTGGATTGGCATGGTCATAATTAAAAGGATTTCTGTCTTTTCTGTGATTGAAAACAGAAGATCTTCCACCCCCTAATTCTCTTTAATACCAGTGTTATTAGTGACACTTGGAACACAGCTACTTCGTAAACTTAAATAATGACCTGTTCCTAATGGTAACTTACAACAGCAGGGACTGAAATCGAGTTTAGTTTTCTATGCA